GCTACTCCTTGTATAAATACTCATTGTCTCTGAACATAATAAATATCAATTCTACAAACATCTATACTTTAAAAACTCTTGCAAACGCATTTAAACAAAAATAAAAAAGAGAAACAAAGTGTTGATAATCCGTTAGTCATCTTTCTTCGTTTCTTGTATGACATTTTTTGATTGTTCGACCAACACTTGATGGTATTTATAGTAGGTATTTTTTTCACAACTGGTATAAATACGAAGATGAAGGTTAATGCTCAAAATCGGCATAATGGAAACAAAATTTTGTTTTGTTTTTCACCTAATTGAAAGAAAATAAATTTTAAAGTAGATCGTTTTGTCATTTACATACTTCACAAGCACCGATTCTTATCCAAATGTATTCAAAATAAATCCAAGAATAAAATCAGATACAATAAGTGAAATGAATCTTTAGTCATAACTTAGATTGCGAATGGGCTTCCATCTCCCAAAGGACCCAAACGAGTCGAAACAAGCACATGTACGGACAATAAGTTATTTTTCAATATTTCCCAAAAACCCCTCAAGTATTTCTTTATTCTAATTTTGGACAATGCAACAATCTCAGCTCTAAAACTCGTTTTACCACATGGGAAACACAAAAAAAAAGTAGTCAAAAACTTTTTAACTAGCCACAGAGCGAGGAGAGAGAGAACCCTTTTTTTTTTCCTCTATAAAAAGCTGAGCCACTTCCTCTGTTTCCCACAAACCAGCTTCTGCAATCTATTCGTTGGTTGGTTAATAGAAGCTCTCTCTCTCCTCTCTCAGAGAAATGGCTCTTCTTCTATTTTCTTCTTCCTTCAGAGTCACCATTTTCCTGTCTTTCTTCTTCTTTCTCTGCAATGGCTTCACTTACCCTACTTCTTCTCTTTTCAACACACATCACCATCGTCACCACGTGGCCAAGCACAACTACAAAGACGCTCTCACCAAATCAATCCTCTTCTTTGAAGGCCAAAGGTCTGGGAAACTTCCTTCTAACCAGAGAATGAGTTGGAGAAAAGACTCTGGTCTCTCTGATGGCTCTGCTCTTCATGTAAATCACCTCAACTTTTTTCTCACTCTCTTCTCTTTTTTATGGAAAATATGAAATGGGTTTGGTTGGTTAGTGAGAGATCTCAACAATGTAGGTTAACTTTTGTATCAATATCGTCAAAAGATCCAGCCTTTATTCATGACTGCATAAAAAAAACAGAGGATAAAATTAGGGTTTTTTTTTTTTCCTTCCTTTACTAAAATCTCTGTTTTAAAGAACATGGGCTTGCTTAGTTAGTGATAGATCTCAAGATTCTCAACAATGTAGGTTAAATTCTGAATCAATATCGTCAAAAGATCCAACCTTTATTAGTTGTTTTTTTTTGTTCCCTCTTTTCAAAAATCTCAACTTTGTGTTAAAATTGGGGTTTTTTGTTTTGTTGATTAGGTGGATTTGGTTGGAGGATACTATGATGCAGGAGACAACATCAAATTTGGATTCCCAATGGCATTCACAACCACAATGTTATCATGGAGTGTAATCGAATTTGGTGGTCTCATGAAATCTGAATTACAAAACGCTAAAATAGCGATTCGTTGGGCTACTGATTATCTTCTCAAAGCCACTTCAAGTCCTGATACCATTTATGTTCAAGTTGGTGATGCTAATAAAGACCATTCTTGTTGGGAAAGACCAGAAGACATGGATACTGTAAGAAGTGTGTTTAAAGTTGACAAGAACACTCCTGGTTCTGATGTCGCCGCTGAAACCGCCGCCGCTCTAGCCGCAGCCGCTATTGTTTTCAGAAAGTCTGATCCTTCTTACTCCAAAGTCCTCCTCAAACGAGCCATCAGGGTATAAGATTTTTGTCATACTTTAATTTTGTCACACTAAGAACTTTTAAAGAAACCTAATTGATTTTTTTTGGTGTGGTGAATTTTAGGTTTTTGCATTTGCGGACAAATACAGAGGAACTTATAGTGCAGGATTGAAACCTGATGTTTGTCCATTTTATTGCTCTTACTCTGGCTATCAGGTAAATAAATGAATTTATTTACACATAATGATCAGATTTTGGAAAATGCTGAAAATTAAAGAAAGGTTTGTTATTTTGGTAGGATGAATTGTTGTGGGGAGCTGCTTGGTTACAAAAAGCGACAAAGAATTTAAAATATTTGAATTACATAAAAATTAATGGACAAATCCTTGGAGCTGCCGAGTATGATAACACTTTTGGTTGGGATAACAAGCACGCTGGAGCCAGAATTCTTCTTACAAAGGTAAAATCTAAATTAGAAAAAAACTAATCTATTTTTTGTTGTTGATTTGTTATGACAATCCCTAATTTTTTAATTTTGTTTTTTTGGTGTGAAGGCATTTTTGGTTCAGAATGTGAAGACACTTCATGAATACAAAGGTCATGCTGATAATTTCATTTGCTCTGTTATTCCTGGAGCTCCTTTCTCTTCTACTCAGTATACCCCAGGTTCTTACCTAGTCTTTTACTAATTTTTACCTCATTTAAATGTTATGGTAATTATTTGTGAAGTTCTTACATTATTTAATAATTTTCGGATATCTTACGAGCTTTTTCTGTTTTGGTGCTTTTTTTCCAGATAAATAAGCTATTTTACTTTTCTAATTTTGGGATTATATTATTTGACTCAATAAATTTGCTCTTGTGAATATTAAACACTTTTTATTCATGTGTTATGTAGGTGGATTATTGTTTAAAATGGCAGACGCCAACATGCAATACGTGACGTCAACATCGTTCTTGCTCTTAACCTACGCCAAATACTTAACCTCCGCCAAAACAGTCGTCCATTGCGGTGGCTCCGTCTACACTCCCGGTCGCCTCCGCTCCATCGCCAAAAGACAGGTCCAATTCTAAAAATCTCTCATCTTTAGAGTTTTAGAATTTCAGATTATTTTGTTAAATATGAAAAAACTTTTTTATTGTTATTTAATAGGTGGATTATCTACTTGGAGACAACCCATTAAGAATGTCTTACATGGTTGGTTACGGTCCGAAATTCCCACGGCGAATCCACCATCGTGGCTCCTCTTTACCTTGTGTTGCAAGCCACCCGGCCAAGATCCAATGCCACCAAGGCTTTGCAATCATGAACTCTCAATCTCCAAACCCTAATTTCCTTGTTGGTGCAGTCGTTGGTGGTCCGGACCAGCATGATCGCTTCCCGGACGAACGGTCCGATTACGAGCAGTCCGAGCCGGCTACTTACATCAATGCACCACTCGTTGGAGCTCTTGCCTACTTCGCTCACGCCTATGGTCAACTCTAGTTTAGTAATGAGTGTGTTAGTTTAAGTAAAAATAAAAATGAAGGAATTATCTTTGTTTTTACTTTTATTTGTTAGTATATAGTGGACCGAAAATCGGATCACAAGAGGACATTAGTCCGAGGGATGGTTTATTTGGTTCGTTATTATATAACGTCAAGTGTAATCTTATCGTGGTTATTAATGCTATTGTCCTATTAATTGTACTATATCCATGTCGTTAAATTTTGTATGTTTATGTGATTTTTGATATTTTTGGGGGAGAGGATAGAATCTCCAGCTGTTTAGCGTTAAAATAGATGAGTGAGATTGGGATTTCTTGATTGGTTCTCACCTTCTCGGAGTGTTGAATACCTTACAATATTGTAAACAGGTTAATAGGTAAATAGGTAATTACTCTTTAACAAAAGGTAATTACTCTAACATTTAGTTATAGTATTTTGTACTGTGTTAATAAGTGAAAACAAACAAACTAAATAAAGGAGCATTCACAAAAAATGAGCAAACAAAAATGATGTAGCGTGTAGAAGAGGTTATAAAGATATGCAACTATTTATGTAAACAAAGCTAAAAAAAATGCAACTATTTAATTTGATAACTCAAGTGGAATATCGAGTTCCGGGATTTATTGGTTTCATTAAACAATCTCACAAAGTTGAAAGAAACATCGAGATTCTAAAATGTTTTAACTATGAGAATAAAAGTTTTAAACTAAAAATACTAGGAGTAAATGTTTGATGAAAGATTTTAGGTTTCATATACCTCATTCTCATAAATATATTCTGAGTAAATGTTTTTTTTTTTTGGTAAACGTGTTAATGTATTTTACTACGAGAAAATGTGGAGTAAATTTGTTTTTTTTTGGTCAAGAAAAATTGTATTTTGAAAGAGAATAAAACATTTTGTTCAAAAGAAAAAAAAAACAGAGAAATAAATAGAGAAAAAATTAAAAAGAATGATGATTGATGTTTGTTTATTGCATAGGAAGAATCATTTTCCACGACACGGGAAGCGAGCAATTGACCAGAGAGAGAAGTGTCCTTTCTGGATTTGATTCATTGGTCAATTAAAGCTGCTTTTGTCTCTCTTCTCTTCTCTCAGGTTATTTATTTATTTATTTCAGTTTCTATATCATTATTATCTTACTCACGCATCAATTGTGTATCTCGATATTTATCAATAAATGTGATTTAAAGAAGAAAAAAAATAAGACCCATACCGAAAAAAAATAAAATAAATAAGACCCATAATGTGTAGTTTTCGGTTTTAGTTTTAGTTATATGACTATATATATCCTGCCAAATCTTGAACCAGCATTTTTATATCTACCAACTCCTCTTTTGCTCCTAAGAGAATGTTGTGAACTTAGAACTGAAATATAAAGTATTTTGTTTGTTACTCTCTCAGTTTCGTAAGAAAATTCTATATATTTTTATTGCACAAACAATTCTGTATAAATATATCAATTTTGGATTTTGATGATTTTTATAATCAGAAATAAAACAAAAATTATTTGACAACCAGTTATTAAAAAAAAAGTAACTAGAGTAATTAGCTTTGTCAGCTATAATAATAATGATACATCAAAATTATAATGTTTCCTAGTCTAATTTTTCAGTAACATTCATATAAATTTGATAATTTGGTTAGAATTGAGAAATGGTTACTTAAATTTTTTTTACTCCGAGACTAGTTTCTAAAACATGTGAAAATAACGTTGTAACTAGGATAATGTTGAAATCGATCTAGTTATTACACTTTGAAACGAATTACATGTGAAATGAAAGTTCCATTGAAGACTTTTTATTATAAGCTACAAACTTCACGTGATTTTTTTCAACATGTCGGTCACACACATGAGACAACACAAAAGTACCACGAAGTTCGTAATAACTCCATGGAACAAATCTTCCTTTCATACACACAACATAGGGTACATACTACATAGCCAAGGTTACTCATCTTTTATTCTTTTTTACAGCCCAACACTTCATCCAACGCCCAACCGGGTCAGTCGTCGGCGGTTAGAGGAACAGTTTTCACCTGAAACAAAGAGAACAAATCATAAGTTAATGAGATCATTGAGAGCTTATATATATATATAGAAGAAAAAGAAAATGGTTGCGAATTGTGACCAAGTCGCGGAATTTGAGAATGTAGAACATTTCAAGATATCGCCGAGTCTCACGACGCTCCAATTTTGATGCATATTTCCAGAAACCATACACACCAGCTAGTGTCATCAATCTCTCCGAGTATATGTTCCATGTGTACCTACACAAACCATATCGAGTTTAAATTAAACATGATTATTTAAGAGATAATTAAGCGTTTTGTTTTAGTTTTTTTTTTGTTACCTTTCGTATATCCTTTGGAGACCAGCGTCCGATACTTTCTTCCAATGGTTTGGATCTTCCCTGCCACGTTCAAAGAAATCAGCCATTATGTTACCCGCTTGCTCAGGATGGTATGGATCGATGTGGAAACCCGAGAGCCCGTGCTCGATGATCTCTGCAGGACCACCTGACAAGTGGCGAAAGTCGGAAGCCCGCAAGTCATCGCTTCCACTACCGTAAGCCCAAAACCCTCGTAGAATGCAGGCTAAATATATTATACAAAAAGGTCACATTAACATAATGATCATACTTTTCATAGCTAATAGCCTAATAGACTAAAATATAAAACATAAATTACATAATTACATAATATTCTTATAATTTATTTAAAATATCATGTTTAGTTTAAGTTCCTAAGTTATACAAACAGAATCCAACTCAAAAATCAAACTAAACAAACCAAACCAAACCGAATTGAATAAACGAAATAACCAAACTGGAAACATTGAATGCCAATTACCTGAGCAAAAGCACCTCTTGTATCGGCGATGTATCGGTAAAGCTCACCATTTCGAGCTCGGTTTGTCTGAGCCGTTATCCAACGAAACTGTCCATCAAGCTTGTAACTCTTCACAAGGTTATCCATTTTCTCAATCTCTGCGATTTCTTCTCTGTCATTGGACTTGTTCACATCAATGTTACCAGATATTACAACCAGATTAACCAGCTCCCTCAACTTTGTGTTCTTGCTGTACATCTCAACTAAACCGGAGATGTTCTTCACTTTGTCGAGCCTCGCCATAGAGAAGAGTATTGGCTTTGACCGATCGCTCAGTGTACCGCTGCAAAACACAACCCGAACCAAAATCCGGCAATTTAAGCCAAACTAAACTGAAATGTTGCCAAACCAAAACCGGAAATTATTTGGTTTTCGGTTATGAATTCCCAAAACCAAATAAACCGAATTGAATAACAGAATGCCAATAACTTACACATGCTCATCAGTCTGCTCAGGGCTATAGAGCATTTCCTCTATTGAACTATGTAAAGCTGTAAGTCTCTTAGTTTCTTCAGAAAACGGGAAATATATGGCCATGTCTACGCCGGGCGAGACTATGTTGAACTTCGGATCAAACACATCGATGCCGTGTACTACTCTGTATAGTCCCGGGAGCGTAAAAGCCCCATGGCTTTCATATTGACCGACCGTGTTCTTCCTGAGAAAGTAACATTAGTATTGCGGATATGAAACTGAAAAACAAACCGCTTTTCGATATATAAAGTCACTTACGTTCCCGCGATTTCTTGGTAAGTGCTTGTGATGATGAAATCTGCGTTGTTCATTGCGATTAGATCAGCTGTGAATTGACAAGAGAAATGATACTTGTTGTCGAAATCTTTCCAGTAAATGTCTGAATCTGGATACTTGGTTTTCTCCAAAGCATGTGCAATAGTACACTGTTCATATCAAAAAAATTCAAGAATCCAAATCTGAGATGTTCCATAGACAAACAACATAACAAGAAAATCTGAAAAACTTGAAACTCTTACCTGTGTAACACCCATTCTATGTGCCATTAAAGATGCAACAAGGTTTCCGTCACTATAGTTACCGATGATAAAATCGGGTACACCTTGCAATTCACCGACAATCTCGCTTGCTGCATCCTGTTTTTGAAAAATATCAGTTACCTTATTTTTCTTACATAAGAAGTAAACAAAACTCAAGAAAGCTAAGATTTTTTTTTACCTGAGCATAGTTCTCCAGATAAGGCCATACGTCGAATCTTGAAATCCACTTATGGAGGATCCCTTTATCGGACCTAAAAGGAACCCGGAGAATATGAGTATGCTCTGTTCCGCTGACTCTCTCTAACCGCTGGTTACACGTGGTTCCTTTAGCATCCGGTATCAACCTAGTTACCTTGAGAAAAGGTAGAAACAAATTGTAGTCCATAAACACAGTTTAAGATATTGAGATTAGTCACTAAGAACCTGCAATGACCAAAACATGCTTACAATAAGAATCCTAGGTGTTATATCCAACCCCTGTCTCTTTATTCTCAACAGCATTTCGCTCTCAAGGGCACGAACTTGGTCTAGAATATAGACAACCTGAGACATCGAAGAACTTTCAAAAACTAATCGAAATACGAAAAACAGATTTAACAAAGGGGTTTAGGAAGGTACTTGTCCACCAGTGTCAGGTAAGCCTAAGACATTGGCTTGCCCAAAATATCCATGTGGAGATAAGATCACAACATCGAAAACCATCGGAACCATCCCGAGAAACTTCTCCAAGGTCGAAGGATCAGGAGCTTGAAGAATATCAGAGAGAAGATGCATCATTTCAAGAACTCGCCCTGCGGTATCTCCCCATCCTTTCTCAAAACCCATTCCTTGAAGCGCATATTCGAATTCCGAGAACGGAGTTTCTTGTGAAAGCTTAGAGATATGATCTTCTGCTTTATTAAGTTGGCTTTCAAGCCTAGATATGCTTTGAATCCGATCATTCAACATCAACGGCTGCGCACAAATAAAGTTAAGATTTTCACAAATTTCATAACAACATCTTCAGCAACAAAAAGAGCTTTATAGGAAACTTACATGACCTTTGTACTTATGAACTCTAAGGAAATCAAGCAGAGGCTCCAAGCAATCTTTGTTACGGAACATTACAGAAGACAAGTGACGATTCAGAAACTGAACTCCATTACCAATGGAAGACGAACGAGAAGGACGTGGCACGTTTGCGTTAAAGGGCTCGAAATCAAGCTCAAGAGGAAAAGGGTCACTATTAGGTCCATCAACGAGTTCTTCTTTGAAACGAAGATACTCAGAGACTGTTAACTGTTCAACACTTAGCTCGAAGACATTAACACGAACATATTCCCAAACACCAGGTCTTGGTCTAACAGCTAAAGCAACAAATGGTGGCACAACTATCGCTTCCTACAATTAGTTTTTTTTGATGAAATTCATGGGATTTTGAATTGACCCCAGAAAATGAAAAGGTTAAGTTTTTACCATTGCTGATTTGAGGATTTCTCCAAAAGGACCATCAGAGAGACTCTGTTTCGTTGCATCGTCTCCGATTACAGATTCGAGTTCGTCGATTAAGTTATGTGGCTGAAGAATCCCTTTTCCCTGATCCACATATCTTCACAAAAAGAAACACATGAAACAAACCAACAAGCAATAGTAAGTTAAAAAGGGTTGAAAATAAAAACAGGGGAATCAGGATCTTGACGACATACCTGGAGAGAAGAGCGACGAGTTCGTTGCGGTGAGCAGAGAGCGTGTCCTGCACGCGATCCCTTGTGCTTATAATCCTAGTGAGCTTAGGGTTTGCCATGGATATTCAGAAAAGGTTGAGAAAAGTTTTGTTTTTTTCGCTTTCAGTGATCGGATAGAATCACACCGACGATCGCTAATAAAAAGGAAAAATCACTGATTAAAGGATAAAAAGCAGAGTGAATCTGGAATTTTATGCGAAAAAGAGAGAGAGACGAAGAAGAAGACGTGGTTGATCTTCTCTGTTTCTTGTTACTGTTTTTTTGCTACAAGTGACGTGTTTGTGTTGGAGGAGAGTACATGTGACTGTGAGTGTATGGAAGCAGTCACAGTTTAAAAGGAATAGTAAAGCAGTGGAGTGTTGCTCTGCTTTGAAAGCGGTTTCATCGAGATATTTAAAGGTTACTCATTTATTAATAAAATTCTTTTTCTAAGAAAAAAAAAAACTACGTGGCGAGAAAACAGAGCACCAGTTGTCTTCTTACTCTTAGGAGGGGTTATTGGTTCATGGATTTATATGGAATTAGAAATCCAAACAAAAATCATTTGTTATTCAATCATTGATTTTAAAATCCTAATTAAATTCATGTGTTATTGGTTCTATGATTTATAAATACTAGTTAAAATCATATGTTATTCGTTTAGTCATTTGTTTTTGGATTTGAGAATCCAAATTATGTTTTAAATGGAATTGAATGGAATTGAAAGAGAAAAATAGAAGGATTCAAATCCATGGGTAAACACATGTTATTTCAAAATCCATATATCTTGATTTCATAATTAATAGAAATTTTCAAATTCTATATGGATTTACAAATTAATAAACCAATAACACCCCCTTAATATCTCGGCGAACTGAAAAAAAAGAGCATTTGATCTACCTTTAATATTTTTGGGCCCATCTGATCGTTGTTGGGCCTCTAATCTACGCTATTGTATAGATTAATTTCTAACTTTTATTGTATTTACAAAAAAAGAAATCAGAATGTGTTTTCGGATCTTTAGATATTTTTAGTGTTGCTCAGTTTTGAAAGCGGTTTCATCGAGATATTTGGATAAGAAGACAAATGGTGCTCTGTTTTCTCGCCACGTAGTTTGTCTTCTTACTCTAAATATCTAGATATTTAGGAGCTGTTATTGGATTGAGATTTTTATGGACTTGAATTGACAGATAATATGTGAATTGGATTTTGAAGTCTAATGCTTGTATGTGGAGTTCACGTGGAATTTTGAAATACTTGATTAAATGTTTGAATTGTTTTTGTTCATGTTTTATGAGTAAAAGTACATTCAAATCCAAAATGAAACAAATCAAATGAATATTGAATAACAGTTGTTTTTAATTCATTTAAGAATGCATCAAACAAATACTAATCCAATAACAGCAAATTTTTAACGTACTTTTGCAAATACATAATTGAATAACACTAGATTTCAAAGTCCATTAAAAACCCAAATCCAATAACACCCCCTTAGAGTAACCGATCACACAATATTTTTAATTCTAAAAAAAAAGGAACTTTTGATATACCTTTAATATTTGTGGGCCTCTGATCGTTGTTGGGCCTCTAATATATATTTTTTGTCGTGTTGGGCCTCTAATCTAATCTATTATAAATTAATTACTACTCCCTCCGTTTTCGAATAGTTGTCGTTTTAACTATATGCACACAAATTAAGAAACTATTAATGTTGTTAGTTTTTCAATATAAAAATATCATTAATTATTTACCTAAACATAATTTAACCAATAGTAAATCAAGTTGCATAATAAAAATAAATATAAAAAATAAAAAAGTAATAAATTTTGCATCGAAAACTGAAAACGACAACTAATTAAAAACAAAAAAAATTCTCTAAAACGACAACTATTCGAAAACGGAGGGAGTAACTTTTATTGTATTTACAGAAAAAAAAAAAATCAGAATGTGTTTTGGACGTTTTGGTAAGCTCAGCACAATTGAATATTTAGAAATTTAGGAGTATTATTCAGATTTGTTCGGATCTTACATTAAGAATTGTTCGGATCTTTTAGTTTAGGAATGTTACAACAGGCTATTTTGGCCCGATCTAGTCCAGTCCAACACATCGAAGCCCACATGTTGCTAGCTTGGTCCGATTAGTCTTATTGGTTAAGAGACATCCGAGCTTTCAAGTTTTAAAACTGATAGCAATCCAATATCATTTCCGGATATTTTTGTCCACCATAATGTTAGAACCGTCTTTGGAATTGGTAATCCACACACTATAATGCGACTCACGTCGGGACAAATAACACTATTGTCTGCCGTGCATACACGTTCTTATTACAAGTTGTTCGTTTTCTTATTAATACGAAATAAATATAATGTACACTAAACCAATAATTTAATTAGTTCTTTGTCAACGCAATTAACCTATAAAACCCGTGGAGTTAGTTTTCAAAAAACCTCACTTGCTTAAGCAACATATAAACAAGGCAAGCAAAAAAAAAGAAGAAAAGAAAATGGCTTTCTCACGCCTCTCATTTGCTGCTTCTCTTGTAGTCTTCTCATCTCTAATCATATCTTCAGTTGCTTATTACGGCAATGAAGCCGACCCAGAGACCGGGAAATTGATTCCCATCGCCGTTGAAGGGGTCATCATGTGCAAGTCCGGTGGCAAAACTTACCCAATTCAAGGTAACATAACTTCTTTAAAACCAAGACGAAAGCAGCATAGTAGCTCTATTTACAAATGTTTCCGAAAAGTTAGCATTTCATATGTAAAAACGTTTATTTTCTTTTGAATATAATTTAACATTAAATTCAAAAAAAAAAAAAAAGACGAATTGATCTAATTGTAGGAGAAAATTAGAGCATAGTAAGGTCTAACAAGACGAATGTCGTATTGTTGTTTGTTTACGTACGACAGGTGCAACGGCAAGAATTGCATGTGTGAAGGTGGATGCTTATGGGAAAGAGATAGTTCCAATATCGATAATGAGCAGCAAAACTGATGCTAAAGGTTACTTCTTCGCCACGATATTCCCTTCGCAGCTTCGTGCAGGAAGGACAGTGACCAAATGCAAAGCTTACCTTTACAAATCTCCAATTGCTGATTGCGATTTCCCGACCGATGTGAACAAAGGTGTTAGAGGACAGACATTGAGCAAGTACCGTGTTCTTGAAGACAAGAGCTTCAAGCTTTACTGGGCTGGTCCTTTCTTCTACACCTCTGAACCTACTTACTACTAATTCTGATCTTTTGATCAACGTGAAATTTAACATGTTCTTGAGATGGAGAATCTTTTCATTTGTTTGATTCGTCGTAAAACGTTTGTCTGAAAATGAGCTAAGAGTTTGTTTTCTTTGTTTCTATTTCATGTCGTATATATGACTTTGTCATGTATGTTATGTTTTAATTTTTTTTGGTAAATGTATGTTTTATTGGATTTGTTCTAATCATCTAATTGCTTATTTTGACTATGCCTAATGGAGATCGTACGTACTTGACTACTTGTGTTAAAGCTCATGGGTAGTAACTTGTAGTGAACTATACCATAACATGTTACACAAAAACAAAAACTATGCATAATAAACCGTTTTGGGAAATGCATCCATTTTTTTTTCTATGTGCAAGTATATGTTTTACAGGAGTATCTACATGTTACATCGTATGTTCATCCCACTCTTTTGGTCTTTATATACAATGACCTTGATTTATTGAACATAACACATCTAAAAGAATTTGACTCTCTTTTTTTTTTTTTTTTTTTTTTTTTTTTTTTTCAAAACAGAATGATATATATTTTCAAGAATATTATAAGAGCTCTCTACCTCTACATGGAGCAACCAGACTCTCCTCTTCAGTTTGCTTATTTTTCCAGTGAACATGACAAAACTTCATGGCCAAGAACGTGAGTCCTTTGGCTTTAACACTCAAGAACTTGAGCATTATCTGTTGATTTTGGCCAGCTACAACCACTCGACCATCCCAACACACCCAATATTAGATCCACTTTAGCGCAAACACTAACCTGAGAGTTACAGATACATAGAGACACGGGTTAGTGTTTAGCGATCGAAGATCCAAAAAGAAAAAGAAAAAAAAAAAGTTAAAAGAGTTTAGATCAATCGGACGTATTACCAAACTTTCAAAATTTGCTTCTATTTGAAACAACATTACTGCTAATCCTCTTCCTCTGTCAATCTCGGCCTGCAATAAACCATAAGATTTGTAAGATGAGTCTTTAGAAACTATAAAATGTTTAGAAGTAAGTTTTAAAGTAAAAGCATGCACCACGCAAGAACACACTGCGATGCCTTCAGCTGCGAGAACTGTTGTAACCTCTGCGATTATGCCTGCCAAATGTAACACAGTTTATATTTTACTTTTGACTTGTTGGAATCATCAATCATGACTATAAGAAAACGAAAATAACATACCTTTGCGATCCATGGATACTACACATAACCATTCGATGGAGTGACCTTCGAGATGATGCCATGTGGTAATTTTACTGTCTCGCCAACTGTCTAAGCCGGGCAACACTTCTTTATAAGCAGGGATGTTAGCAGGTAAAATCTTGGCAATTCCATCTCCGGGTAGGAGGAACTCTGGCTCATCTAAACTCGAGTTTTTTATGGCTTTGTTGTGTTTTCCATTCACCTTTGGGACCCAAACGCTTCCATTTTGAGGAGTGGGTGTTGTATCTCTACTTTTGTCTTGTGACTGGAACTGCTTAACATTGACGAGGATTTTCTCCCACCATTGTAGGCTCTTTCTTGAATCTTCTGTGAGATCTTCCAAATCACTATCAGAGTCCGCCACAAAGTCATTCACTTGATCTTGGGTAATTTCGGCAGCACATTGTGCAGCTTGCTCCCTTAGGAACTGGAACAAGATGAGAGACATGAATAATAGTGAGCCAATTATCATGAAGTAAATAAAAATAACATACCCTCATAATCTTGTGTCTTGCACTCCTTGTTTTGGCATGTTGCAACCACTGTTTATGTCTCTGGAAAGCAGATTTACTTGAGAGGGCCTGTGATGTGACAATAAGAATAAAACGTGAGAGCCCGTGGAATGAAGGCAATCAAAATTTTCCTAAGCAGGACAAAAAGAAAGGAGAAATTAAAAAACAAAAGCAAGAGAGAAAAGGTACAAACGTTGTAAGTGACTATCTCCACGACCTCAGCATTCTCAAGAACGTGAGTTGGGGAAACAAGATTACCATTGACCTGCAGTTTCAAGCCATTAAGTATCCTTAAAGTTTGGTCCAGTTGTTGTCTGTATTTCAAAGATAATAAATCGACAATTCAAAGTTAACAATGGAAAGAACGACAAGAATGGGGAAAATACCTTTGCTGCTACCATCTTGTTTCCGATTTCCGTGTGAATCAGATATGCGTAGTCAACAACAGTGGCCCCTTTCGGAAGGTTCTTTATCTGCAAAGAGAATACCAAAGCATTTAAGCAAAATCATAAAAACGTTAGATGATGTTTCAGAGGCTTGAGGTGTAGTAGTCCTTACCTCTCCTTTAGGTGTGAATACAAACACACGACTACCTAAAAGATCCCTCGTAATGGTATCCACAAATTCTCTAGAGCTCATGTTACCCACAAACTCCTCTTGCCATTCCCTTATTGCATTTAGCCACCCAACCTGGAAAAATAAACTGTCATAACTAGCATCATAGTGGAAAGGTAAAAAGGAACATATCACTGCCTACATCTAGCACGTCTCTTTGCGTTTTTTATTCTGAGTATGGTCTGTAAATACCCTGAGTGCAAAATCTGCATTGTTGAGACAACCCGTCTTCCCCCTTGAATTTCTACCTAAAGGAACCGCATTTGCAACTAATCCAGCAGAAAGAGCCTTGCCATTATAGTAAACAGCAATGCCCCTTTCAGCAATTAAGTCCATCTCCTCAGTTCTGATCTGCAGAGAGAAATGTAGTTTTAATATCCAATCAGCCTTTTAAAAATTTCCCCATGCTTCAACCTCTAAAAGACAAAACCCAAATTCAATTGTACTCATCATTGGCGTTTTTCTAAACACTGCAATAAAATAATAGCATCTCAAATACCTGAACCTCCAGTCGGAACATACTCTCATACAAGAACGGAATCACAGTAGTATGGAGGCTCTGGTAGCCATTAGGCTTCGGGGTTGCAATGTAATCTTTTACCTGTAAAATATATGTTCAGTTGTAATGTAGTGAAAACATATCCTCAAATAACAAAAGATCAGATACGTACAGTTCGGGGAATTGGTTTCCAAATCTCATGAACTAGCCCAAGAACGTGATAGCATATCTGCATTGATGACAGAGCGAGAAATCTAAGTGACACACCAGAACGAATCGGAACAAAAGATACCCACTTCCTTTTCATTGGAGTTTCACCTGTTGTGGGCTGCACAAAGGCCCGACCCCCACAGAAGGTTTTGGCTTTACAACAATCCGTAACTGCTAAAATACACAAATTAGAAGAAGCAACGTGTTAACAATCATATTAAGCTTCAGATGGAAGTTCCGGGCACAAGCATCCTAGGTAATTCAGTCTTATGGTTCTTCGAAATCTGTATATGTATTCAAAACCTTTGAAACAACTTGGAGACGCGTGTACAACACAAACCTGGGCAATCTGGTTGTAATCATTAATTGATCCTTTCGATTTGAGTGCAGCTTTGTAGATGCTGCAGGTAAAAATAAGAGGCTTTAAATGCTGAAGAAAAGGTAAATTACAAAGTAAATGAAGAAGTCATTTATAAATTCACCTGTAAGTTTCCTTGCAAACAGATCTAACATCAGTATTCACAGTCACAAGGTCCAGAAACTGATCATCTTCAATCTTTTTCACCAAAATTCTGTTTGCCTAAGATACATAGTAGGACTCTGTGAATGCAGATGAACTAAATAAACGCCCAGATGAATACAGAGTTCGTCAAAGAGGGTGAAGGTTGATAATCAACATCTTTCTCTAATATCCTTTTCTTTTTCAATCAATGTTTTGGCATTTTAAGCTCAGAGACGATAATAGTTACCTCAGTGAGTTCTTTTTCATGCTCTTTGTAGAGGTTAGCGATCCTGCTTGTGACTCTATCATAATCCTCAGCACTTACGTACATGAAAGATAGATTTTCCAGTTCCGACTGCAAGATTACCACCACAAAACTCAGAACGTCACTGGACACAACAATTCATATAATTAAGTTTCATATACACACTTAACATACATTACAACTGATGTAACCGGAAACTATAACCACCTCGTGCATAATATTGTCATAAGAATAATAGCAAGCAAACACAATACGTAAAGGGTTACCTTTATCGAATACATTCCAAGCAATTTTGCTAAAGGAGCAAAGACCTGCAAAGTCTCCCCTGCAATGCTGGACTGGACGAAACTCAAAAATTCATTAGTTATCCCAAATGAAACATAGAGCTGAAAGCTGTATAGGCAACAAATCTCAACTACTTGAAGGAATCACCTGCTTATGGGGAGGCATGTGGCAGAGAGTTCGCATATTATGCAACCGGTCAGCTAGTTTGACAATAATGACGCGGACCTGGAATGAAGCAGTTAGGTATGCTGATGAATATATAACTACACCAGCTAAAACAAAATCTTAAAATACTGAAACCTCGTCTGTCATCGCCAGAAACATCTGCCGCAAATCATCTGCTTTTACATCTTGTATTGATTCACTTTCTGTTTTACACTTTAACTTCCCCAGTTTTGACACCTAATAGGGAAAACAAACTTTTATAAATAATGAATTTCATGGCACAGGAAGTGTGGTGTTCTTTCTCTATAAATGGTTCGAGGATAGAAAAAATATTGTAGCAAACACACATAGGCAGACCTTGGTCTCCCCTTCTACGATGTGACGCACAGTTGCACCAAACTCTTCTTCTATCTTTTCAAAAGTAATGAAATTTGTATCCTCGACTGTGTCATGTAGTAATCCAGCAACAATAGACTCCCAATCCAATTCCTATACAAGTACAAAAGTAATTATTAAGCTTTCCAACTAATCATCATGTGAATCCATATCCACAAACGCAACTCACAAGTTCCCCAAGGATACGAGCAACTGCAACGGGATGTATAATGAATGGTTCCCCACTACGTCTCTTTTGACCGTGATGTGCCTCAAACGCTAACTGCACAAACCTTTCTTTCTGAATTAAGCAATGAATAGCAGAAAACTGAAAATAAACTTTAAAAACATATCAAAGGGGAAATGACATATGTAGCTTAAAGAAGTCTTTCAAATATAAAGAAATATATCATCATACCTTAAGGCCCTTTTGAACAAATTCTAATTCTTTACAGGGTAGGTAAGATATTGATGGGAAAAGGTCCTGCAGAGATAAGCACCCATCAAAATGGTTGTGAGGGTCGTGCTAGTAGAGTGCCAATGAAAAAGAAGAGGGTAATGTATCGTACCTCCCACAATGTTTCGACGGTAACATCATCAGATGCACCAGAAGATTCAACTGGTACGCAATACAGTTCCCATCTTTTATGGCCACCACAAGATAATTTGGACTTCAAGATATTTCTCACATTTACCACGTCAGGAGCCTCAGAAAAGCCTACTTCATATTCATACCTCCGCCAGGCGCACTACATTATCCAAAGGAGTTACCATAAGGAACCTCCAGAATAGATTGCAAATACAGCCCCCATGGCAACATGTAAAAGGTGATCATGTACAAAAATGATAGAAACACAGTTCTGGAGCTTGATATATCCATTCAAGTCACATG